GAAGTAGAGCCACGGGTTTGGATAAACTACTGATAAGAAGAGTTACATATATTTTAATGAAATGTTAAATAGTGTTTTATTAAAATACATATAATTTTTGTGCCCTCTCCACAGCAAGTTTCAAATTTCTTGAGACAAATTTATAGCAATTACCTTTTAGTAACTTTAGAACTTAGAGAACAGAATTCGTTTTCAATTGTTTGCGAAATCAAATAAGATTCTACGTAACAAGCTTTTTCTCTATGTTTGTATTATCAACATCAAATTGAAAGTTTATAATAAATATTATTTTTGTTAATGCCAATGAGTTATATTTTCCGAACTGAACAGAGAGGTGTTAAATTTCAAACTTAGCTTTCCACAATCTAAATTGAATTTAAATACACTATTCCATTCTGTTTCATTTCAAAGATATTAGGGGAAAGATATAAGAGCAATAGAGACCATAATTAACGTAAGTGAAAGTAATACTAAAATATAGAATAATAAAGAAGATATTTACGAAATGTTAATTATAAAATTTGGCATTCCGAGGTTCACTAGACAAAGTAGAAAATTTTCGATTGTTTTTCATTTATCAATGTCCACCGTTAAACTTACGCCTCGCAGTAGATTGCTTATTTGCCACTCTCAGCAGAGGCTCAGTAACCACAGTATTAATTTACTGCTGTAATTAAAAAGACACTGCTTACCACCTCTTGATAATACAACACCCACGTGGATAATAATGGGGTAGTATTTTATACACTTACATATTAATATGTAACCCACATTGCTGTGTTCTCACATTCAATCTTCAGCAAAACAAAGAAAAAGCCTAGTCATGTACTGTCACAAAAGTAGGATGTACATTGTACATGTCACGGAGTAGACACAGCAATATATTTTGTATGTCAACAAGAAACTCCCGTTTATTACAACATGAGTTTCCAGAAAATAACAAAGAAAACAACACTACTGTATATTTGAAAGATATTATATAAGTGACCATATTATGTTTTTAATAGAATTTTGTTGAATTTCTAGAAGTTAGCGAATTTTGTTGGATTTCGGTAACAGACATAATTTAAATAACTTGGTAGAGGAATCAATTAAAAACCACACCAGGAAGGTAGTAGCACACCTGGTGACAGACAATCCCTCGCTGAGCATCCACGACCAAGTTATCCTACTTTTCCTGAGCGTAGGTGCTCAGGCTATCTCGCGTAGAATACAGGGGGGGGGGGGGGCACGCAATTCAGCTCGTGACTAAAACTGCCACGCATTCCGTGAATTTTTGCAAAATAAATAAATAATAAAATGAAAGGTTTTATTAAAATCATATTTAACTTATGTAACTTTACTTAAATATGATTTTTTTATTCAAGTTTATAAAAAATAAATAAAATATATCTTTATTCCAGGCAACAGAAAACCCATATATGTTAGTAAAATTGAAGTGAAATATAACTTTTATAAATTTTAGTGTTAGTAATCAATTGAATTTAAATAAATATAATACGAGTAAACACAAATATAAATGAAGACGTTGAGATCATCCGCTAAGAGGGCACCGGTGTCTTATACCTTGGCATGAAGCCGTATCCAGTGCTCAAGCAGCGGCGAGTCCCATCTATCTGCCATTGTGTTAAGAATGCTACTGGAGATGCCCCACAAACGCTTCAGTATCGATGCAACACGCTATCTAATAATGGTGTGGAAACCATCAGTGTGCATTTCAGAAAACATTCCAGACGCACTGCAAAAGCGCGGCAACCCCATCAGCATCCTAAGCCCATTATTATACTGGACACGCAACGCGCTGTAAACCCGCTGCGTATAGTTAACCCATAGGTTGCCCGTGTAAAAAGACTGGCAGTAGGGTTTGAAAATAGTAATCTTTACCTGCCTACTGCAACGAGTAAACCTTCGGGCCACCATGTTACATCGATCGATATTTATATTATCACGATCCTCGAGATCCTCAGTGACCCAGTGACCCAGATACTTAAAATGTGAGACACGCTTTAGAGGTGAGTTGTTGAGTGTGAAGGTCGCACTTGGTCGTGATTTGACTCCTGCATTGAACACCATTAATTCGCTATTTCACATTGTATCGGAGTCCATGGGACACTGCATATGCTTCACATATTTTTAATAGTTTATGCATGGCACCAATCGAAGGGCTGAGCAACACCATGCCGTCTGCGTAACTTATGTTATTGATATATACACCATCAATATGACAGCCTACATTTGTTTCGTTCAACTCCTCGATTAGGCCATTAATGTACATATTGAAGAGCCTAGGAGATGTAATGTAGGAGATGTACCTTGCCTCACCCCACATTCAAGTCTATATACATCAGAGTATAAGCTCACTCATCTAACACAGTTGGTCTGCTGCTCCTACCACGATAGTAGCACCGCAACTAACTCGTACGGCACATCAGTCTCATTTTGAAGTTTTTTCCATAACATTTCATATGACACCAAATCGAAGGCCTTGGACAAGTCAAGAAAACAGCGAAAAAACTGGAGTGCTCCTATCAGTGTTGTATATGACAGTGTGCTTGAGACACAAGATAGCGCTTTCGGTGGACAGACCTGGTTGAAAACCAATTTGCGCATCAGTCAATTTTAAATAACCACTTAAGTGTTGATCAAGCAAATTGTCCAGCACCTTTGCCACCACAGTAGCCAGTGAGATTGGTCTGTAATTTGTCAAGTCCGATGGATCCCTCGACTTGTTCTTAATAACAGGCACAACAATGGTTCGCATCATCAAAGGTCATCAGGCAGGTAACAGTGGCTGAGACAGAGGTTATATAACAAAGATAAGACCCTTGGTAGATGGATTTCTGCGCACTGCAGATGCTCTATGCTGAGGTGGTCGTGACCAGGCGATTACTGTACCGTGCCCTTAATTACGCGGTCCACATCCTTCACCGAGAATCTAACATTAAGTTTGTCAGCACGATGCCCATCATCACACACCGCAGCTGCAGCCCCGAGAGTCCACCCTGAAGTGAGCTTGAAAGGCCTTAGCTATCTCACTGTGCTCATGAAAGCCAGCGACGCTCACCGGAAGGCTCAATGTTGGGTTTGGTTGGCTCAATGTAGCCTTCCAAAGCGCTTAAAGTCCTTATTAGCACGGTGTTGTGCAATCATGTCCATTTTAATTTGTTGCTGATTATTTTGCCACCATTTCAGTTTAGACTTAAATACCCTCCTAGATTTCACCATATTCACGTAGACTAGGCAAGCACTCGGCTTACATTAGTACTGCCACTTGCCACTGTAGACATTCTCAAGCGTACTGGTGAGCGTCCCTGACATGTTTACTCCATCCGATGACATGTTCTTTTTATTATTAATTTTACTTATTCGATTACTACAAACTTTAGCATCTTCTGTGAGGATACTAATTATATTTTTGTATAATTTATCTATAGTTTGTCTATGGCTACTATTAGAACACATTTTATCTGCACAACTCGTGAGTTCCACAGGAAAATTTAAGTTTCTAAGTTTACAATATCAGTATTCCCTATATTTATCTATTTTAGAGGAATCCCTGTCGCCCCATATTACATTATTAATATTGAAACTACCATTCATAACTTTAGGTGTTCATCAATGATTAATATAATTTCAATAGGGCAGTGATCCGACCAAAAAGTGTCATATATGACAGAAACATGTGCCACTGTGTTCCGAACGGCACTTGTCACAATATAATGGTCAAGCCATCGCCTACAGGCATTTTTTTTATAGAATAGGCTGACAAACGAGCACACAGTCCACCTGATGGTAAGCGGTTGCTGCGGCCCATAGACATCTACATCTATCTTCCATTACAAATCAAAATGCAGATGCGTTGTCACCCGTGAGGACTGAGATGGAATGCCTCATTTCCAGTAAAAAGGGTCTCCGGTTCTCTACACTCACCATACGAAATACAGCAGCATTAAGCTACTATTTCACGCTGGTATTCTGTGAGAGCGTGGTCCTTCCCCGGTCGAGCCGACCCATTCGTGCTACAACTATACTACTAATATAACTGCAGCATGGCTCTACCACGTAAATACCTAATCAGGCGTGTGCATCACTAACTACTAAGTCCATGTCTATGCAAGACCAACATTGTTCAGCACAAGAGTCAATAAGTTTATAACAAAACCGCTCACCTGGATGTGCATTGAAGTCACCAAGTATGTACGCGGATTCAACACCACTGCTCTCTATAATGGCACTAACCTCACTGAGACACTCAGTAAACTCCGGTATATTTTCACTTGAATCGGTTGGCATGTACACTGACACTACTAGGAACGACCTATCTTTGAGAACTATTTTGTTTGCCGCGAGCCATACACTACTACACGCTATCACCGACCCCGACGTAAGCAAGTTCTTCTTCCACAGAAGAGCTTCGCCACCATACGGCCTCCCACGAAGCAACCCAGCTGAGGTGTCAACTTCGGACACACCTGTGTAGGCGAAATCATCATCTATAGATCCCAGGAACGAAATATCATGAGGCAGGAGCCATGTCTCCTGCAACGCCACCACGTCCGCTGTGCGACATATTCTTCTCACACAGTCTAATGATCTACTAATATTCTTGCAATTGAAGCTAAAGAATTTAATTGTTTATGTATTGTTCATAGTACATAGATATTATTCTTCGACAGACCCACGACTTCTGAGCCTTTTTCACCAAATTTGATAAAACGGCGATAAGCGATTCCATCAGGCCAAAAGTCATCCTTCAAAAATATGTGTACTTTATTGTTAGCACGTAGATCTTGTGTGCATCATAATTTTTTCCATAGTCACCTTTATGTTTACTTTATTCTCAATGTAATTTATTATGTCACACATGAACACCTCATTCGACACGATATAAATATAAATAGGGGTGTTGACAACCTCTGCTTTGAACTTTTGATTTGGTTCTGTTGAAGCTTTTCCTATATTTCCTACAAAGCGGTTTTTAAGTCTTTTACGTTGCACTGTTACCCATTTTCATCAGTAGCCGGTTGCCTCCATACTCCGCAGCGCGCAATATCGGCTAACGATTGCTGCAAAGGTACTGCAGTACAACCACCGGCCTTCGTGGTCTCGTGTTCGTCGCTCGCTTGCACCGAGCACGGCTGCGCGTGAGTCATCGTCTCTGTGCCGCTCACTTGTTTAAGACGTTCTCGCCCAGCTGATTCACCAACCGCTAATTTGTGAAACACTGATTCCTGCGTCTTGATACCCTCCAATAAATTATCTGTGCCTAACATCGGCCGATACTCCAGTAATTGCTGAGGGGGCGGCCGATGCACAGGGTAAGTAGTGTTAACATCCTGTAATGGATTTAACCCCATGGGTCCACTATTATAGGCAAAACTATTTAATAAGCCAACGCCTCGTCTGGTATTTACATTGTCGGTAAAATGGTTTACAACCGATGTTTTCTTCAGTGATTTAAGATCAAGCTTTATCTCCTCAAGCTGGCTAGACATATTGTTCTTTGATCACTTTTAATTCAGACTGAATTCTTACGATATCTTTGAGGAGCCGTGTTTTTTTATTATGTGCGAGCAGCTATGTAGGTCTAAGGAAAGAGACCAGTATCACTGCGACCTAAAAGATCTATTGTGATCGCTGCTATGGCTATAGTTCACAGCTAAACCCTAAGTCTTCAATGAATAGAAGAAGTTGCTTCGCCGTGAGCAATTTCACTTCTTCTGGGCGGGGTAGATAGTTTCCCAGATGAGTGTTACGTTTGCGCATTAAGGGTCCGCCATCAGTTAGGATGTGCAGAGACGTTTCTTCCGTTATGAAACAGAACCGACACATACTTGAGTTGCTTAGACCCAGGATGGACATGTACTTTTTAAGACAACAGTGTCCAGTTAGGGCTCCAGAATGCGCAATTTATTTTTACTTAATCCCAGGGCTTCCGAAACGAATTTACAATCAAAAGCCCGGATCAAGTTTTTAGAATGTTTTAAGCCTGGTGTGCCAGATCTTAAGTGATTTATTGTGATAAAGAGTTTCAAGGGTTAATCGGGCTAGGCTTCTTGAGATTACACAAAATGGCTCAGGTCCAAATTGTGTGCACTGTGAGCCCTCCTGTGCTCATTTGTCAAGTTTGGCAAATTCGTTGCCTACAATACCCGCATGACCCGGAACCCATCGTAAGACGACCCTGTTGTTACATCCCAGGGCGTTTAAACGGTTCACGCAGTCTCCAACTAGCTTCGAGTTCACTAAGTTCGACCTCAGCGCTAGCAGTGCTGCTTGACTATCAGAGTTTATATAAATTATATGGTTGACGTAGTGTTTTTGCAGATTGATTTCCGCTCACTAAAGTATGGTGAAAATTTCTGCCTGGAAGATAGAGGTGAATCTACCCAAATTCATACTAAGTTTGAATTAGGGGCGTTCCCCGTAAATTCCAAAGCCTACGTTGAGGCCCATTTTAGACCCATCGGTATACCCTATAAGGCTACTGACCTCACAGATAACCTGGCCATTCAGCCTTTATTCTCTGGAGGGTAATTCCACTATATACTTTTTATCAAAAGTGTGTAGTGGACGCATGATATCTGAGATCATGCATAAGACCAGTGTTTCCTTAATTGAGTCGAGCATGGATCTCAATCTGTAGGAGAGCAAGCTCAGACCGTCCTGGGCGTTAATCCTATACAAACTAGCCCTCGCCTCCTTGTCTAGATATAGATCAAGGGGCGTCAGGCATAGAAGTGCATTAAGAGCCGCTCTAGGCAATGGTCGCATAGCTCCAGTTGCCATTAAATAGGCAGTTCTTTTTAGACTATTTAGTCTGTCCGCAGTCGTCTTTTGGTTAGCTTTATTACACCAGACAATAGAGGCGTAGGTGAACATCGGCCTCACTATGCTGATGTACAGCCATAGGACCACACTGGGACGCCAGCCCCAATTGTCCCCGACTAAACGACTGCAAGTACCTAAAGCAATTTTTGCCTTAAGGCATATGTTGCTAAGGTGAGAGTTCCACGTTAGTTTTTGGTCGATTATTACGCCCAAGTACTTAACTTCAGTGAAAACGATACTTCTTTACCATTAACTTTTGGTGGAACTAATTTCTCCAAACGTCTCTTTTTGGTAAAAGGTATTATAACAGTTTTATCAGCATTAAATGATAAACTGTTATCTCTACGCCAGTTATTTATGGTGTTTAGGGCTTTTTGTATTATTGACGATAAAGTACTTTGGCAAAAGCCCCTAGCAATGATCACAAGGTCATTAGTATAACCTAGTGTATCAATGGTCTGCCATTTTATACAATAGTTGGTCAACCGCAAGAGTCGAAAGAAGGGGTGACAAAACACTTCCTTGTGGGCAGCCTCTTGTAGTTGCAACCTCAATTGAAGTTTGAAACAGCGCTAATTTGCATTTCTGTTTGAGAGCATAGACTTCACCTATCTGATGGTTGTGGGGTCAACATTTTTAGATGTCGGGCCCCCAATCAGCAGTGATGTGGGGCTACTGTCGAAGGTGCCCTCAATATCCAGAAAGGCACAAAGAGCTATTTCTTTTTCCTCCAGTGCTTTTTCGTCACTGTCAATGACACTGATCAGGGCTGTTTCCGTAGATTTGCCTCTGCGGTAAGCATGCTGGTTGTAATGTATGGGCCTCGTAGCTAGAGCTACATCCCTTATATATCTATCTATAACCTTTTCCAATGTCTTAAGGAAAGCAAGATAGGCTTACAGGTAGGTCTAAAGGACTTTGGTAAAGCGTAGTCCTTTCTACCAGCCTTAGGTATAAATAGAACTTTGATAATTTTCCATCGTTCTGGAATATATCCCCAGGGAAAACTTGCTTAAAGATTTTCACCAGATAGGGAAGAAGAATGTCAATACCCATCTGCAGTTGGAATTATTCCATCCCCCTCACTTGTTTTAAATGGTTTAAAGGTCAACACACACAGTCAACAGCCCACTGCACCAAGTTTGGCCTTTTTATCTTTCCAGGAGCCGTGTTAACTTGACGTCAAATAGAACCGGGGGTAATTTGTGCAATTCCCGCGCGACAAAACTAGGGAATTCTTCAGGATTTGTCTCTTTGATTACACAGATGATATCTTCTATATCTCGCCGTGTCTTTCCTTGCCTCTTCCTGATTTTCTTTCGTCTTGAAGTCGTTAAAGAATCGAATAACAGATTCTTTGCGTTCACAATATCACCTTCCGAAAAAGCACTAGTAAATATTTGTGCAATGCTAACTTCGTCCATCACATCCACTTTATTATAAATAAAAGCTAACACTTCATTGATTATTACGTTGCAGTTAGGACATTTCACTACTTTAGACGACATTGCGAAAATTACACTGCGCTCGATGATTGCGCGTGACATGACCGATAGTTGATGCACGCTTCAACAGACTGAGTTTATGCCCTGTTCATCTTTATTGGATTTTTACTCCATCGGATAATCTTTTTCCCATCATGCATCCCTCATTGATATTTTAACAAATTTATAGTTTCCTAACACGGGTTTTGGTGATGGCTTAGGACTGGCAGCCATATGTGGGGACAGATAAAATACAACGGTCAGAGTTAAAGGTTGGATAGTCATGCCAGTATCTTTGTTTTTATTATTTCATTTAGCCTCCAGGATTGCTTTTCTTAGAGATATTAGAGAAGGAACAGAAAAGAAGAAAGTTCAGTCGTGGTGCTTGTTGACTTTTCTAACGCTTTGAACACAGTTGACCATGACATCCCTTCCTGCTATACTTTCTTATTTTAGGTTCGCACCATCAGTCCTGGAGTAGTTCCAATCTTTGCGGACGTCAACAGTCTGTCCACGCAGCAAATGACTTAAAAGTGGGTTGACCTGATATCTGGTGTACCGCAAGACGGTATACTTTCTCCGTTAATCTTCTCTATTTTTATTAATTCCATCACATCCAATATTGATTGTTCGCACCATCTGTATACTGATGTCATACAAATTCCTGTACAGACTGATATTTGTGACATCCATAATGCGATTAATAAATTTAATTCCAATCTCAAGTCAGTCTGCGATTGGTCCTTGCGCTTTTGGTGTGTCTGTCAACCCCACGAAATGCCAAGGGGTGATTATGGGTAGCTCAAGGATGCTTGCAAAAGTTGATGCCGCTAGCTTACCTTCAGTCTATTATAATGACCACTTGATACCGTTCTCTTCTTTAGTTAAAAATCTTGGTCTCCATATTGATTGAATCAAATAAATTTTCAATCTTCATTAATATTATCATATCTCACACTATCGCTCTCGCCTTAAATGGCTCACTATTAAACAGAGGCATGACTCTAGAATTTTGCTCGTTCTCTTCTCTATCATAAATGATCCATTCACTCCTTCTTATCTCAAGGAGAAATTTCAGTATATTTCATTTTTACATTCCTCATACTATAATAATAAACTAAGAACCCCACTAGATTTTATGAATTTTGTTGGTAAATCCTTTACCATTCAGACTGTACTTCTTTGGAACTACTTGCCCGATGACGTTAAAAAAATATCTGATAAGATTACCTTTAAAAGATTGGTACATAAGCACTTTATGAAGATGTTGATGATAATTAATATGGTCAATTTGGTTACCTTAGTTGTTTTTATGTATTTGTATTTATGCATTTGTATGTTAATATTGTTTTATAGTATATAAGTTTATTGTATTATATATATATATATAGTATATATATATATATATATATATATAAATATATATATATATATATATATATATATATATATATATATATATATATATATATATATTAGTTTATTTTTAATTTAGTCAGTAGTTTTTTCCCTGATTTACTCTATTGTTTATTTTATTTTGTCACTTATCACATTATTTTGCACACGTCCCGGGTTGACTAGGAGGGAATGCCTAAAGGCAATAAGTCCACCCTTTTAAACCCTTTTTATTAAGGTACTTATGCATCCAGGTATTCCCGGAACTGCACCGGAGACCCTCACAGTTCAAGCGAGCGTAAGCGTGAGCGTAGATTGCTGAATTGCGTCTGGAAGACGATATATAAAAAAAAAACATATATATATATATATATATATATATACTATATATATAATATATATACATATATAATGTAAACGCTTGCAGGGAAAATACCTTGTAATTTTTTATCTTTCTACGTTCTCCCAGATTTAAAAATAACAGATCTTAAAAAGTATCGCTATCAAAACCTATGCATACAGTGATATAACCATATTATTCTCATAGCATGGCAATATGGTTATACGTGTTAAAACTACACGCTTTGTTGTTTCAGTTTAAATTGAAGCACAAAACAAATTTGTTTATCTACATGACAACCCACACG